ACGACATCTATCTAAACAAGCTGTTTATGGCTATAAAAGATGGATTAACATGATCTATATCTGCAACAGGAAAGGAAGTGCTAATGTTTATTTATTAATCCTGACTACAGCTTGCTAGTAAATGAGCAATTAATGAGGTATATGTAAATAATTCGACCTCCAAGTGTTTTTCTTTCCTTTAAACAGCTTATATCATTTTAGGAAGAAAAAACTGTCATCACAACATTTTGGTGATATATAGGCAATTCCCTTGCAGTTTTGTTATATGGATAGTGCAGAGTTCAACAAAATGTGGGGGAAAAAAGGCTTTGGATGGCTGGATAAGTTCAAACCAGATGAAGAAAAAGTAAGACAGTCTGCCTGTTCCTCCAACTGAGGCAAGCTTCACACAGACACCAGCGCCGGATGAGAAACTGGAGAAGAGCCTCGCTCCATCAAAGTCAACAAAAGGACTAGGGAGGGTAAAAAAAAAGAAAAAACAGGGAAGCACCGACATTAAAAGAAAGGATCAAGGTGCTCTGATCTAAAAGCTACATGGTGACTGCAGGGCATTATTAAAAACAGTCCCAGCCAAGCCCCCAACATGGCACACTGGTCCGGCTTCAAACACGCAGCAAACCAAAGATAGAAAACATGGCAGCAACCCAAACACTGCCATCTCCACAGATTGCCTTATTTACTAACAGCTGCTTCATGCAATACGCTTAATGTTTGCCATATAAAGAGAGACTAAAGAGGGTAAGCACGTGTTAATATATGAAGATGAAACAAATAGATTTTGCATCATGCATTATGCAGGTTAAAAAGCTATTTACCAAACCGTTCCTGTGGTTTTTAAGTCATTTTAAAGAGATAATAAGATGCCTTAAAAAGTGACTCAATAAAGTTTCTCTACTGGCGGAAAGATAGACGCTACTCTTGTGACTCACTTGCAAGAGAAACAAATTGGGTTATTAGGAAACACTTGGGGTTACAAACAAAACATAAAGTTCTGGCGTCTCAGTGTTTCAAGCTGATTTTAAAAATAAAACTTGCAGCCTGTCTGTAAAGCAGCAAGTTGAATGAGTATACAGTTTGACTAAGTGAGCAGCTAAAAGCAGCTAGTTGCACTTGTGTTATGCTTTATAACCACATATAAAATGGAAAACATGGCAGCAAGCCAAAGACTACCAACTTAGTAAATTGCTTTTTTTACTAAAAGGGAAAAATCTAATAATTATAAACGAGTGGACAGTGAGGACGGAAGTATGGTCATATCTGAGCGTAGCATCCATCACTTTTATGAAAGCTGTACCGAAAAGTAGCAAAGGAAGAGCTGTTCTTTGTAGCTAGTTATTTGAACTGATATGTTTATAAGTATAACAAGAAGATACATGCTGTAAGGGTGGAATAACCAAAGTTAAAATGACAGAATTCAAAAGCAAATATTTAGTATCTATGTAATGTTTATGTCTTTCCCCTATGTATAAGAATCAATGTATATATAAAGACTGCAATAAACAATATGTTCAAATGTTAACAGCAGACAGGTTTTCGGTATTTACAGTGAATATCTGCCTGATGTTTCTGTATCAAAGCTGTCCAAATGTTCTCTCAAATCCTTATGCCATGCAAACAGCGAGATTTTCTTTTTTACGCCAGAGATAGTACCAGAGTGATCAGAGTTTTCTCTGAAGCCATGCTCCTTGCTAACCTGTTGCTGCACACTGCCATTCAGCTGGCTGGCAGAATGCTAATGCATTTTTTTATTGTACATTTGGCTGTTTGGAGATCTTTAGATCATTAAGAAGTGGAAACTAAGGAAGCTATGTCCAATTAAACTTAATAAAACAACCACTTAGATCATGTTATACAATATAATTTTGATCTTTGTGAAAAGTATCTGAAGCCTATATATACCTAGCTTTAGGTGGACCATCTGCTGAGAGTTGAAACTTATAGTGAGTCTTGAGAAGGCATTATTTACACCTCTACTCTTTTCCACAAAGCTTTTACATCCAAATAATACTGATGTAAGATATCTAAAACTGTTTACTGTATCTGGAATCAAAGCTAATCCCATGAAATTGTGTTTTCTTGTTAGGTCTGGCTCTTTGTTACCTTTGAGGACGATGGGGTCCTTGCCCTCCCTCCGCAGTGATTCCAGGACCACATGTAGTGGCTGTGCAGATGTCAGCCTGTTGGGGTCTGTGGTGTTCTCGTCGTAAACCACAATCTCTTTGGAAAAAATGCCCTTAAAGGAGTCCTTCCCCTCTCGGCAGGAGATGAGGTCCAGCACAGTGATCTTGCCCTGCTGCAGCCGGCGCCGACTGATCTTGTCTGAACAATTGATGTGCACAGCCCCGCGGATGTGGCTCTTGTTGTACTCCAAGAAGGGTCGGCAGTCGATGATGACAGGGACAGGCCCGACGGGGTGCCCCAGTGGGCAGCAGGTCATCCGCTTGGCCAGTTCATTGGGGCTGATAACCCTCTGGGTGGCTAGGGGCTTCAGCTGGCCCTGGGTGTGACTAGGAGCACTGAGCACTTCATGTTTGCTGACCATGGAGGTGGGCGGCCCAGCATAACTGAGGTTGGGGCTGCTGGCGCTCACCTGGCTGTGGCTGAGGCTCTGGCTATCCTTCTCATAGGTAGTCACAGAACAGCAGCTGGCACTGCTGCATCCACACGACAATGAGCGCGTGGAGCCCTTGGATGAGGGCATATACGTCACAAGATTGGCCGTCGCCCGTATCTTCACCACAGTGGTGCTGATGACTGTGTCGCTGCTGCTGCTGGTGGTGATGGAGTCCAGGTAGCTGGTGTCCAGGCGTAGTTGAAGTTCCTGAGGTCGGATCGGCCTTGGCAGCGCCACCACAATTCTGTCGTCGAGGGGAGATGGAGGCATGGGGAGACCGAGAGCTGGACGTCTACGGAGAACTCAACAAGCCGCTCTGAGAAGACAGGGATAAGGAGCATGAAAGGTTTTGATTGAAGCAGACGGCTCAACCTCTTCACTTGGATAAACATGAAAAACTGCAACATGACCAGTGGAGCCAAACACTCAACACCTACAGGGCTACACCCATAATAAAAGGAAGATTTAGGAGTGACTGACCACTAATAATAAACAATGAGATCATCAGAGGGTGTCAAATCATCCTCCAGATACTGTGTGCTGCTGAAAATTTTAATGCCAACTCAGCTCTGTCTGATCCAAGGCTTTTAGAACAGGAGAAGAAAACACTGCATTTACGCCATGCTGCAGTTTTGTCTCTCACCCAAATGAAAGTCAGGGTAGGCTATTAGATTAAAAAAAGAATGGTAATTCATTTCTTATCATAGAGTGTTTCAATAAGCATGTCTTCCTGGCATATTATATAAAGACGCTTTACCAGTCCTGACCATTGCCTGTGGAGGTTCTGCAGAAAAGAAGCGGTGATCATTCATGACCAAATTCATTGAAGAAACCGGCAGGAGAACGTGCTGAGAATGTGATAAGGCAGTTATGAGGAGAGCGGCAGAATGAAGGAAATCCAGTTTCACTGAAGCATATGATGAAGAAATGAAGCATACTCAGATGCGCAGGCTGATTTTAAAGGCAGGGGTTTTAACTTTGGCACAATAAATGACTAAAGGAGCGATAAAAACGCGCCTTTTAAATTGTAAAATAATATGGCATGATAAAATACTGCTATTATATTTAACTTCGTTATTAAAATCGATCTGTTTTAACATTTTGTGCCACAGATAACTTGTATTTTGCGCTTACCGGTGAGTGTCAGGCTTGACAGTAGACGGATTTATTATCTCCCCTCGCTGACAGCGCTGATCCATTCAGTGCGTCCCAGCCTGGCTGTGAATCGGCAACATTTTTTATATATATTGGTACTTTTACCTTTCTCTCCTACATATAATATTGAAGGAAGTCTGCCAGCCTACAGAAGTCGCGCAGAGATATTGACGCGACTGTGAGCCAATGCGCGTCTTCATTAATATGAAATACGCGGTGTGTGAGTACAGTGAGGTCCGGCCCTGCGGTGGGAGGGGCTGAGGAAAGTTGCGTCCCACCGCTGAGGGGCGGGGCTAAGTCCCAGACGGGAGGTGGGATGATGTCACTGGGAACCAATCAAAAAGGTTTTCAAGAAACAGGAAAGAAGAGAGCGCGAAGCGTTCATGTACGGCTCGTAAACCCCAAACCTACACCACAACGGATCCTAACTGCAACCAAAGAGATGGGTTTTGTTTGTTGGCTCATTTTATTTGAAAAGGAAAGTGAAAGCAACTGAAATGCTTGTCAAAGAGTATTAGATACTTTCAAATTTTCTAGGAGAAAGAAAAGCATTTTGACTGCTGTTTTTTTTTATTTTAAATAAGAACCATTAGATTACCAAGAAGATACTAACCTGAAAAAAAAAAAATGTTTTAGATAGTATTTAAAAGCATATCAAGTAGGACATAGGTTCATGTTAAAGCGTCTATACCTTATCATTATTTTCTACTTGAACACATAATGGTTAAACATGCAAACTAGTGCTGATATGGGAAGTTATTCACCCTAACTGTGTCAAAAGATAAATCTATCTAAGGCCTCTGTATGGCTCCTCTTATTATTGTTTTATAAACTAATTTTGCTTTAAATTTCCCCCTCTTTTTTTTTACCTAACTATCTTCGTTTTCCTGATCTGCATGGTGCTTTTTGTTCACTAATATTATCTTATTACAAAGCAAGTGATATAACCAGTGATACATCAACTGGATCCACTGAGTTATATTAAAGTTAATAGTAAAGGGACGGTACACAAATTCACAGCACACAAACTGTTAAAATGTTTTTTACATGAGTATTTTATTCCTTATACTGTAAAATTCTGATTTATTTTGTCTTGGTCTTTCAAATACAAATGAATAAAAACTAAGAGGTTTAAAGTTCTAACAAACCAAAATAGATGTTCTTGGTTTTGAATAATTATTTTCTGGGCTTTTATTCAAAATGCAGATAACTAATCCCTTGAGTTTCCAAGGTTTCAATGATTGTACCTCCTTTTTTTCAGGACTTTGGCCAAGGAAAAGCACATAATTTTCTCTTAAAATTAGTATTTTGTAATCAAACCTGGCTTGATTGGGGTTATAATGCAAAAAACTGTGAAGATTAGGGATAAAGAGCACAGCAGAAATGTCCATATAATAGAACAGAGCTGAAATGTGGGGAACTTCTTTAGAATGATAATTATCATTGATTTGAATCAACTATAGATCAACATTTAGCTCTTCACGGGCTGCTTATTATCTTAAACATACCTGGTCAGTGGAACTGGACTAAGAATCAACTTGTAAATGGAAACTACCAAGATATAAATACTATACACACTCACTTGTTCCTAAATTTAGCATTTTTACAGTTTTGCAGACACTTGTTTATGCAGCATGCAATGGCTCATACTTCCCTAGAAGTGTTCATAAGATACTTGGCTTGCTTCAAAAACCTCAGCCTAACCGCGCTACACTTCATTTTATAATGGGATTAATTTGGCTGTGTTAAATTTAAAAAAGAAAATATATCAGAATCTTTCTGTAAACTGAAAATGAATGTAGACCCTTAATGTGGTAATGAAATGCCAGGGTAATTTTGTGGACCATCTTTCTTACTAAGTTAAATTAGCCCTATTATTTAAGTTTAAGAAAATACATTTAAAACCATTCTGGTCTCTCTCTTTGATAGGTTGGGCCAATTTGTGGTTAGTAAATTCAGAATGAGATTGCTTCGTTTCTTCATTATTTTCTCCTACAGCTATAAAAGAGCAGAGCCAAAACTAATAGCTTTAACTTCACAGTAATATTATCCTGTTGAATGTTACGGCATCACTTCACCATATATATATTGCACAGTGACCTAAATGGCCTCTTTGCTGGTTGATAATGGACATGTTGTCTGTTTAATCATTCGCATTCAGTTGAGTCATGAACAGAAATTTTAACCTGCTCCACTGATTTCACAAGTTAAGCTTCAGATTTTTTTTTTTTAACCCTGCTGGACATTTCTAAACCAGAGTGTCAAAACGACAGTAAATTTGTTCACACTGATTGTTCTATGTAAAACAATCTAAAATGTGGGTACAATCCTGTTCTGACCCTAAAGGAGGCGGTCGCATTTTCCTGCTGCTCTTCAACTCCCTGATCTCCCTGTTCTGAGCAAAGACTGAGCATCATCAACACCCTTATCACTGCCTAATTTGGACCATAAAGGTTGTAAGGTTGTCTTCCTGTTTATATTCCCAAAGATTGCTAAGGAGTTTGGATAAGGCTATATTTCTGCTCTCTTATGTGGACTTTCATTTTACTGTTGGCTTAAGACTACATCCATCCCTTTTACCAAGGACATTTTTTTAGGTTTTTCTTCCACTAAACTTTCTGTTTGCTTAAATAAAGCGAGCAGCCAGCTACATTAAGGGCAACCTTTGGTTATTCACTCTCCTCATGGAGGGTCTCAATATCTGCTGGTCAACTGCCAGGGCAGCACTGATTGTGTGGGTCATAACATTATATTTTGGTTCCTCTTAACTGTTCTATTATAAAATATTCAGTTTTATAGAAACAGCCAAATTAAAGCTTCTATTTGCTGTGAGCCATTCTCTTAAAGATCTACAGAAATGAATACGGGAACTATATATCTCTAAGTTTCACTTCTTGAGATGAATTGTATAAATAAAATGACTTTCAACCTAATTATGATTTCTTCCCTTGTCTAATTTAACCAACACAGATCCATTAACCATTAGGCATATTTATACCCCTATTTCACACCTTTATCATTTAATCCTAGCTTCCTTTCTTTTTTGTTACTCCAACCAAACTGTCAATTCATTTCTCTTGAAAGGTAATTGTAATAATGGATGGTGATAATTATAATTTCAAAAATTCTTTAAATACATGATTTAAATACATGTTTTACTTATAATAGTCCATTTTATCATAAATAAATGTAAATGTTATATTCTAAAGCCCAGTTATAAATTTAACTAGAGGACTTTATTCTGCCAACCAATTACCTATTAATGCACCCTGCTCCAACATATCTCTCAGGACTTTGCATACAAAGCTCTATGTCCAAGGATGCCTTCGCCTTCCAGCCGCATCCCAGCCCTCCTCTGTCTGTTCTCTATCTTCATTCCACCCACAGTGTCAGTCTACAGGACAGAAAAAAAGAGCCCTAAACGATATCTACGTAAGTGCTCACACAGACCATCTGCATTTAGCAACAATTTCTTCTGTCAACGTCTGAGCCCCAAAGACTTTATATCTTCTCATCAATAAAATGTTCTAATCTGTGTTTTCTTCCATGTGAGTCTCTCCCGGATAAAATAATTCCTTTTCAAACCTTAATTATCGTGAATTCTGCTGCTTTTTACAGAACTATAGAGAATCATCATTGTATGGAAATTTCCCAGGTTGGATGCAAACAGACTCTTGATCACTTTAAGGCATCCTGTTAGTGCCTAAAAGCAACAATTATAAAAAATATGAAAACTGAAAAAGTCTGAAAGGATGAAGGGTAAAGAGCCACCAACCTGATTCTTTATTTTTAGAAGAAAAAACATTTATTGGGAGATTTTTTTGTTATTTCTCCTAATTCAACAATTAAAACTTCCCTCTTGCTTAAAAGCACACAAAGTAAATGGTTTTATACTTTTAAGTTGCAATGTCATTGTGGTTTACCTATGTATGTCATACATTTGCATCATATCCTCATATCACTGTGTCCTATTTTTTCGTCTGAGTCAGTCGTATATGGTATTAACCCATCTATTTATTCTCTGCACTTACTCATTTGAAAAGAACCAAAATATCGACTGACTTTTTAATAAGAAAAAAGTACATTTAGCTCATTAAGTAAAGGGATAAAACAATAATTTTCTGTATTTTGACGGCTCCAAACCTGAAGATGCAAAATGCAGTGCTGCCCCTCTGTAAGGCAACATGAGTGACCTGTATCCAGGTCAGGCAGGGTATATTATTAGTCGTAATAAGTCGGTGTCTTTTGGCCAGAGGCCCGTCGAGCAAGTGCCAAGTTGGCTGACTGCACATAAGATGGGACCACTGTACAGCGAAAAGGACCCGCTGGCTTCAGTCCCTAAAATAATCCCTAGCAGCCCATTTATCCCCTCTGGCAACCTGAAACAACAGAGGGTACGTGCCATTGCTTCTATAATTGGGTTGCTGTGTTGTTATTTATAAATGGACACAGCTGATCAGAGATGATTGGATTCCCAAAGACTCCTGTTACACCATGTGTTAAACAGCAATAGAACAAACAAAGAAGAGACCTAAATTTATAATACACAAATGAAGCAGTCTCCTTGTACCTCCACTCCAGATCATATCTCTTTTTACCACAAATAATACCAATGCTGATTGCTTTGATTTCTTTAGTAATATTGTGAAAGGAAGCAATGGTTTTTCCAACCAACTTGGCTCCTACTAGGACATGACAGGAGGAGCCACACTGGCGTACTACTGGATATCTGAGTCATGTTTGTACTTCTAAATCCTGCAGCTGGCTGGTCACACAACCCATAGGTCATCATTACATCACTCTCAATTTGCAAAGCTGACTTGTCCCCAAACAAGTCAGCTGATGTTAAGCCATGACTTGCTTGGAGGGCCAGGGGTGTAACAGATGCAGGACACTTAAATGCCCCCTTTCTCGTCTGTCCTTCAACCAAACCAATGAGGAGAGCAAAAAGGTGCTTTGATCTAACTGCAAACTGTTTAGAGAAACAGTTTATGGGTTGAGCTAAATTTCATAAATTTTACGATACTTGCATGTTTGATTAAGTTTTTTTTTTTTTTAAAGGCACTAAACACTGGATGTTTTTTGTTTTTTTTTGTTAACAACAAAATGTCTGATCCGAGATAGACCGATTGATGTAATCTAAGTCGAGCGCTTATGTAAATCCAAGTAGGTCATCCTGTATTTCAA